ATTTAGAAAACACACTATGATACAAATCAGGTTGAGCATATTATATTGTAGAATTAACGTAGTTTTCAACAGCTGTATGAAACAAAAACCTGGATTTTCATCATTCTGAATCTCATTGTTCGATGTGTATCCTGTTGTATCATCAATTACATTAGTTTCAATATCTTCTACCAACCCGATTTCTTCACAGTTTTTTTGGACATCTTTAAATGGAGAAAGTCCCACATCAAAATCTTTTAGTCTCCCAGGTCACAACCTCCATAACATCTACATTTTCTTCATGAGAATTGACATCTACACTATCTTCATGAGAATTGACATGAACTGAAGAATCAATAGGATTTTTACCATTGTTCTTCATTACGTTATCAATCTCCAGGATGAATTTTTTGCAGAAAAAACTTATTGATTTCACATTCTTAAATATTTTGGATACAATCTTCGACAAATATGTGTGATTCCATGTGATCCATCAGAATCATGAACATGTTTACACACGGTTTTTTTTTTTTTGAAATTATTTCACTAAATCATATTAATATTTATTTTAGGAATGTAAATCAATATTAATTATTTTATTTGAAAGGGTTCCATTTTAAAAATTAAAATTTAATTTTAATTAGGAATTGACTAACATACCCTTTTAATTTGATTTTAATTGTATAATTAATATATTAAAATGATTGATTGAGATTGGTTCTCACAGTTACCACAAACAACTCGGTTCTCCCTTGAATGGGCCCCTATATATATATATATATATATATATGTATGTATGTATATGTATATATATATATATGTATGTATATGTATATATATATATATGTGTATGTATATGTATATATATATATGGGTCATTCAAGGGAGAACTGACTAGTTTGTGGTAACCGTGAGATCCAATCTCAACCACAAATCAATAGATAAATTAAAAAATTTATAATTGTAGTAATTTTAATTAAAATCTTAATTCAAGGACATGTTAGGTATTTTCTATCCTCTCTCCTCTCTTCTCTTTCCGTCCCCGTCTTCCGGTCACCGTCCTCCGGTGATACCACAGTGTGATACTCAAACACATATAAGATGCATTATGATACTACTGTGTTATATATCCGATCGACCGCACAAACGACCACAGTGTGATATCCAATCACATATAAGATGCATTGTGATACCACATCACCGGAGAACGGTGGGCCGAGACCGGGGAACGGAGGAGAGAGTAGAGAAAATATCTAAAATTGTCCTTGCATTAAAATTTTAATTAAAAATTACCAAAATTATAAATTTTCTAATTTATCTATTGATTTGTGGTTGGGATTGGACCTCATAGTTACCACAAACTAATTAGTTCTCATTTGATTAGGCTCA